TTTTTTTTTTTTACTTTCTTCTCATTTAACTGTTTAAAAAGTACACACATTTTTTCAGAATGTATATCTCTCATTTTCCAAATTGTCATTAAAACTACATGCTCAGGGGCACCTGGGTGGCTCAGTCGGTTGAGCGTCCGACTTCCACTCAGGTCATGATCTCACACTCCGTGAGTTCAAGTCCCGCGTCGGGCTCTGTGCTGACAGCTCGGAGCCTGGAGCCCGCTTCAGATTCTGTGTCTCCCCCTCTCTCTGCCCCTCCCTTGCTCATGCTCTGTCTCTCTCTGTCTCAAAAATAAATAAAAACGTTAAAAAAAATTTAAAAAAAAAGACCTGCTCAGAAAGCAGTAAGTGGGATGAATGCCATACATAGAGTATGATTCCAAATTTGCTTTTCAAAAGATGTGTTTTGAGGAAAAGGTTAGAAAAATCTCCGCCTAACCATGAACAAATGTTACCTGGAGGCAGTGGCCTTCAGGATGCTTTAAAAAAAATTTTTTTTTTAATGTTTATTTATCTTTGAGAGCATGAGCGGGGGGTGGTGCAGAGAGAGGGAGACAGAGGATCTGAAGCGGGCCCCGTACTGACAGCGGAGAGCCCGATGCGTAGCTTGAACTCACACACTCTGAGATCACGACCTGAGTCAAAGTTGGATGTTCAACCAACTGAGCCACCCAGGCACCCCGGGGACGCTTTTAATATTCCTATCGATATGAAATATGATAAATGTTATTAGTAATTGCTGGACCTTCCTGAAATGCCGAGCACTCCCCTGGATGCTTTACACACACTGTGACAGGTAATGTCCCAGCCGTCCTCTGACCTGGGGGCTACCACTGTGAAGCCATTTGCCAGGTGAGAAAACAAAGTGTGAGAGAGGCAAAGCAACTTGCCCAACCCAGCTGTGGCTTGCCAAGCAACTGCCTCATCCAACAGACACGAAGGCGGCTGCCTTCATCAGAAAGGAGCCACTGGGATTTCCCCAGGGATGGCCAGAGGGCGAGGACCTTCGGGGGGCGGAAGCGTGCATTCCCTGGGGGGGGGGGCGGTGAGCAGGGGTGCGCCACCATATCAGCGTGTCCACCCCTAGAGTGACCCAGAGCCGTCCGCCAGTTCCAGAAGCCTGGACGGTTAGAGGAAGTACAAGAAGGAAGGCTTAGCAGGCAGCAGTCTGGCTGTTTGGGAAGAGAGTGACAAGTAAGAAATTGAGAGAGGGCCACATTCAGAGCAGCAGAGTGGGGGGAGAATTGCAGAGCAGAGCCGCGAGAACATTAAGAAGCGTCTGGCCGCCCTGTGAACTGGGTGCCCCCACAACAAACCCGTTACGGACCACCGACTCCGGACTGTGTCTCTGAAAGCGGCACAGCACTGAGAGTGAATCATGCCGGGACCTGAAATTCACGATGGCTCTCCGTATCTCTGTTGCTTTACAAAATTTGTAACGACCATGGGGTTGGCGTGACAATGAGGGGGGAAAAAAACACACATACATTTTTGGTGTGTGTGTTTGAGAACAATTCTTCCTTAATATTGAGAACGGGTTAGGGATATTGCTTCTCGGCCTTTTGGCTAAGATCAAGTGGAGAATGGGTTAGGGAACAGCCACCCGTTTCTTTACCTAAGAACCAGGTGAGGATGCTCGAGTTGTGGCTTTCTAGGATTTGCCAGAGAAGAGAGTCCCCGTGACCCCAAGGGCTTCGTGGGGTGCAGGAGACAGCCGGGCTCAGGCCGCCCGGCGGTGCGTGCCTTGGAGAGGAGGGGCACTTAAACTATTTCAACTCAATTTAGCACATTACTATCGATTCGCCTAGAACTCATGCCCGATCACGGGATAGACTCCGAGGTAAGAAGGGCACTCCCATTTTGCCCAGTTTATTATCACCTGTCTCCCACAGCGGACTGAGGATTTCACAAGCACAGGGTCCCCACTAACTTTGCTCGTGGCTCGTTCCCCTGCGGCCGCAATCACGGGGGTAAACAGAGCACCCTGAGAGTTGATCTGATCCACTAATGGTGAGGCATTGTTCTAAGCGCTTTCCACGTATTTTGTTTATGGGTAGCATTATGGTAGCATTATGTTGTCCCCATTTTATAGATGCGCAAGCTGAGGCTCAGAAAGGTTAGGTAATTTGTTCCTGTTCCACAGCTGGCCAATGGTGAAGGCCAGGCTTGGGTTCCTGTAGTCTGACGCCTGTGCTCACGCTCTTAATGGCTTCCAGGGAGCTGCCCGAGAGGTGACCCTGAGATCACTGGCCTCCAAATCCCCAGGGATAAAAAAGCAGATTCCCACGTCTTGGGCTGGAGGGTCAGAATCCCTGGGAGGGAAGCCTGGAAATCCTCATTTTTTTTTTTTTAAAGCACTAACCTAGGTGTTTCAGATGTGCACTAATGTTTGTAAAGGACAGCACTCAGATGTGCCACACTCACTCCTTGTGGGTTTACAATTATCTCTAGCACCCACCCTCCTACACTCCACCCTCACTTCCTGCCAACCCCTGAGCCGAATTGGAATAGAGAGGAAAGGAGGGAGGAAGGAAGGAAGGAAGGAAGGAAGGCAGAATGGAACGGAAGAAAAGCAAGAAGGAAAGACGGAAGGAAGGAAGGCAGGCAAGAAGGCAGGAAAGAAGAGGGGAGGGAGGGAGGAAGGAAAGAAGGAAAGGAGGAAGGGAGGAAGGAAGTTAGTTCAGGGCAGGTCAGCCCAAGCCCGCTGCTCTCCTGCCCTTGGACTTGCTGAAGCACACTCCTCCCGCCGCCAGAACAGCTGCCGATGGAGGGGAGGTACCTCAGCAGGAGCCTCCTCAGTGGCTGCCGATGTCTGCCCTGTTGAAGTGGCTGAACAGCCAGCTGCCGGAAACAAGCAGTAGGGTGGAATTTAGCTGTTGCCGGGGCTCCACACCTGAATGTTTCTCCCGCCCCAGATCAGGACGGTACTGCACTGGGCCCCCACCTCGGGGGCAGGGTCCGCATCCTGGAAAGATTCAGCCAACAGGACGCGCGGCAAGAAGGAGGAGCAGAGACGAGGGTCCTGGCAACACATGGGTTGCGTGATCCTAGGATAACAAAGAAGGTTCCAAGCTGCAGGAAGTAGAATGGGGATGGGGTTGCGGGGTCCAGGCGCGGGTATCCAGCACCGGTTTTCACGAGCAACTCACGTAGCCACTCTGAGCCTGTTTCCTCCTGCATAGAAGGAAAATAACAACTATGATCTGATGGCTATTAATATTGCGATCTGTGATTTGGTGAACACTTTTAGTGTGCCAGGCCTTGACATTGCCTTAAGGCAGTCAGTTTTCAGAACAAATATCTATGAAGCCATTCTGATCCCCATTTGACAGAAGGGAGTGAGTCTTAGGTTAAGACTGTGCCTGGTAGTTCCCAGCACATGACCCGTGGAGCCCGCATTTGATTCCTGGCCTGTCTGATGCCAAAGCCTATCCTCTTAATAACCACTGATAGCTTCTCCAACCTTCCTCCCACTTCTAGTGTCCGTGATCATAGTTTCAAAGAAAACAGGCGTCACTCTGTCTTCCCAGCCCACAGCCTGAGCCTCCCCAGCAAAAATGCCAGTTAGTTCATCCGCGTCCAGCAAAGATGTGCATAGCTGTCCACTGAGAGCCCCGTCAGTACACAAGGGCCCCGCAGGCATCTAGCAAATAGAATGGATCTTAGCCCAGCCAAGTGGCGTGTCCAAAACACAGGTCTCACAGCTGTCATCTGCTTCCTCAAAGGTCTGAACCAAGGAGACCATCTGTAGGGTGCATACAGAGGGGCTTTCGAGGGCTACAGGGCATCAAAGAAAACCCAGACACCCAGGCTGGTCTTCCTCTCTAACCTTAGCATTCACTGTTTGCCTCCCACTCACTCCTACTGTTGCCTGTTCCCCAAAGGGGCCACGCTTATTTCCACCACAGGACCTTTGCACTTACCATGACCTCTGCCAAAAATACTGTTCTTCCTGCCTAGAAGAAGCCACTCTCCCCAGATCTTCCCAGGCTTCCTCCTCCTTGTCTTCCAGGTCTCAGATCATGTCCCCTCCCTCGGGAGGTCTTTCCTGACCACCTCATCTAAATCAGCACCCCCAATCCATTCCTCTCCATTACATCTTCTGGCTTTACTCACTTCATGGTGCTAAACACTATCTGAAAGGATCTTGTTCATTCCTTGCTCATGTGTTTAGAAAGTGCCTGGCAGATGGCTGACTCAACGAGTATGTGCCGAATGAATGGACCACCGAATAAATGAATGAACGGAAAACCTTCCTTACTTTTTTGGTACTAAGGATCCAGAAACCTATATCCAAAAACACCCCTCTCCTTTCGGTTAACAAGGGCAGAGATGGCAAGAAATAACACTGTGGTTGGTAACAACAGCCATGGGACAGTTATATCTACACACATTGCCGGGCATGGTTCCAAAGCTAAAAAGGCACTAATTGCTTTTATATAAGGAGGTAGAAACACAGTCCCTCCGTGTCCTTTAGTCCCGACGACGCTCTGCATTATCGTATCGGTTACCGTGTTAATTGTTCCTGTCTCACACAGCCAGTCCGGGCTTTATTCTGCATACGTCTGGGTTGGTGACAGGTTCCTACACAGAGGAGAGAGGTGCCGGGGAAGCGTGTGTGTTTGTGTGTGTGTCTGTGCGAGTGTGTCCGTGTGTGCACAAGGGTGTGTGAGAGCAGTGACACTCTGGGAAGGGTTAACTCACAGTCAGGCTATCTGTGCTCGGGGCCCCAAGACTGGCCCGGGAACGGGCGGGGTGGGCTCGGAAGGTGGAGCTGGCTTGGCTCACAAGAGCTGCCTTTTCCAAGACAGGAGTGCAGATGCTCGCCCAGCTGGACCGAGCGTGGTGAGCGCACGTCGCCTTCAGGAATGGCTGGAAAAGCCCGCACCTGGAGACCCCTCCCTCCCTGTCCCTCCACGGCAGGTCGCATTTGGTCTCTCCGGTCATCAGAGGAATGAGCAATTCCCCGGCTCGCGGCACTTGGAGAACAGCAGGCAAGGATGGATGTGGTCGACAGCCTTCTCGTGAATGGGAGCAACATCACCCCTCCCTGTGAGCTGGGAATCGAAAATGAGACGCTCTTCTGCTTGGATCAGCCCCATTCTTCCAAAGGTAGGTGTCAGACACTGTTATTTTCATTCAGAAAAATGATTGAGCTCAGGGAGAAATCAGCAAAGGCGAGGCTGAGAGAGAAAATGTAACAAAGTCCTCGGGAGACAAGGCTGGGGAAAGTCGTGCGTTCGCAAGTTTGGACAACACATCAAGAAGCAGAACTGAGTCAAATACCCTTACGGTTCCCCAGGGGAGAGTTGAGATGGAGGTATAGGACTCGGGGGTGGGGGTGTGGGGGGCAAATCCAAGGAAGGAGGAGCCAAAGTGTAATAAGAAAGGGGCACACGTGGCGAAGCTGGAACTTACCAGCATCACAGAAAAGGTGCTCTGGCAGTCCAGCTGTCACCTTTTCTTGGGGGGGGGGGGGAATCCGGCGTGAAAAAGTGATGAAAGTAAAATAATGCTTAGCAGCTAGGAAAGGAAGCAATCACCATGCACTGGGGAAGCTTTGTTCCGAGGAAAAAGTGGTTCCCGGAGAGATTCTTGAACAAAACCAACATTTTAGAAGCCACTGAATCCCTGTGGGCTCCTCACTTGGTTTCTGCAAAACGTTGTCAAGTACAGGAATAGTCGGGTTCAAGGAGGTGCACCCTTGCAAGAAAAAAAAAATCTGCAAGAAATAACCGTTGGTGTCGTGGGCTATGGATTTAACATTCTGCTCCCATAACCTCCGCCCGCCCCTCTGTCTCGTCCCTGTTGCTCCGTGCAGAGTGGCAGCTGGCTGTGCAGATCCTCCTGTATTCCTTGATATTCCTGCTCAGCGTGCTGGGAAACACCCTGGTCATCACGGTGCTGATTCGGAACAAGAGGATGAGAACTGTCACCAACATCTTTCTGCTCTCCCTGGCCGTCAGTGACCTCATGCTCTGCCTCTTCTGCATGCCGTTCAACCTCATCCCCAACCTGCTCAAGGATTTCATCTTCGGGAGTGCTGTTTGCAAGACTACCACCTACTTCATGGGTGAGTTGCTGCCGGTGACTATTTCTGGAGCTCGCCCCAGACCCCACTGGGCCCCAGACCTTCCCAACTGTCCCCCCAAC